ATCCCCAGTCAGGGTGCATACAGGAGACAACCAATTGATGTTTGTCACTTCAGTATCTCTCTTTCTCTCACTTCCCTTCCTCTCTCTAAAAATCAATAAATGTATGGGTGAGGATTAAAAATAATTATAATAATAAAAATAAATAAAATACCATGATTCTAATAGGGAAGTCAAACTTATTGTTATAATTTATAACTTACTAGAGGCCCGGTGCATGGATTTGTGCATCAGTGGGGTCCCTCGGTCTGGCTGCGAGATTGGGCCATGACATTCCTTGAGGGGTCCTGGATTGTGAGAGGGCACAGGCCAGGCCGAGGGACCCCATTGGTGCATGTTTGGGGCTGGGGAGGGAAGCTTGAGGTTGTCTAGCCGGGGAGGGACCATGAGAGGGCTCCAGGGCCCCTCTTGTTCAGTCCCCATCTGCCGGACCCCAGCAGCAAGTTAACCTATTGGTCGGAGCATCTGCTCTCTGGTGGTCAGTGTATGTCATAGCGAACAGTTGAGCGGCTTTAGCATATTACGCTTAGATTTGTTGATAAGACGACCAGACACTTAGCATATTAGACTTTTATTATATAGGATAGTGTATTTTTTCAAAATGAGTTACCGTATTTTTCGGACCATAAGACGCACTTTTTCCCCCCCAGAAGTGGGGGGAAAAAGTCCCTGCGTCTTATGGTCCAAATATAGCCTACACATATACTTTAAAAAGTTTTTTTACTTGCCCGGCTCTGTGTGGTCTCTGTGTGCTTGCCCGGCTCTAAAATGGTTCTAAATGCTGCTGTTTACTTTACAGGGTTGATTACATGTGTTTATGACTGTGATGTTGGGTTTTAATGCACATAAAATATTTTAGGACACTATTTGTTTCAGAATCTTTTTTTCTTCATTTCCCTTCTCTAAAAACTGGTGCGTCTTATGGTCTGGAGCATCTTATGGTCCGAAAAATACGGTACTTTACTTTATTCTACCTAAATCAGGGGTCTTCAAACTACGGCCCGCGGGCCACATGCGGCCCGCAGAGGAGTCTGATCCTGCCCACCAGGTTTTTTGGGCAGTGAGCGCAGCCGAGGTTTTACAGTAGGAATTAGTAGTTCATATAGTCCGGCCCTCCAGCTCTCTGAGGGACCGTGATCTGGCCCCCACTTTAAAAAGTTTGAGGATGCCTGATAAATTGTTTATGAGAGAACTTAATACTCATTTTAATCTTGAGGTGATGAATGAATGAATTGAATTATCATTGATATGTTCAGATACATACATTTAAAGCGCATTCTTAAAATTATTTTTGTCTCATTTGGATTTATTTTGTAAGAGTTATGTTTACTATAGCATTTAGACTGAGTTTGTAGACCAGAATTACTTAAATTAGGAAAGAATAGAATAATTAGAATATTTTGCACATCCCTATTAACTTGTTAATATATATTAAAAATTAAATTCTATCCTTTTTGCCAAGTTTTTATTATGATTACTACAAAGCCTGTCATTTTAATATCTAAAGTGCCTCTACAAGTAAGTCTACAGTGATTATCTTAAAAAAATTTTAGTATGTCAGTTATAATCTAGATTATGTTCATTATTAATTTTATTTAACAGAGTTGATATTAGTCTTTCTCTGTCTTTAATATGTGAAGTGATAAATGAGATTTTTACCTTTGCAGTTAGTGGCTGCTTTAGTAAATATGCTTCCTACATTTAAAAAACAAACAAACAAACAAACAAAAACACTTTTAAGGAAGAACTGTTAGAAATAGGTTAAAATTTGTTTTAGCAAACTATTATCCAAATTATTATTGGGCACTAGCAGGTTGATAGATGTTGACCATGACAAGGTATTACTTAATGATATCTGTAGTCTCATCAGTATGATTAAAGTGGCTGTTTGCTCTAGAATAAGTAGTTCACCATGAAAGAGTGCAGGTGGCTTCCTTAGGATATTGTGTTGGGGGAAGACTCTTTAAGCATGATGCTGTCATGAGTGTGTTTTATATGCTTTTCTTGGTGTATAGATAGATAGATAGATAGATAGATAATTAGATTTTTATACTTTTAAACTTGATTTAGTGAACATATAACTATACATGCTACAAAATTCAAAAGCTATACATTGAAAAGTCCTCCTCTACCTCTGTCCCCCTGCCTCCTTGGAGACAACCAATGTTGAAAATTAGTTTCTTTCACATTTCATGGGCTGTTTTGTTGTTGTTGTTGTTGTTTCTTAAGGATGTATAAAGTCATGTAAGAATTTAATTGATAATTTTCTCTTAATTGATAAACATTAAGAAGATAACAATGATTTGGGAATTGTTTCCCATACTAAATTCAAACCAGAGCTTTAAATAAGTTTTCTTTATAATACTAATAAAAAAGATTATTTTTCCTTGAGAGTTTTGTGATGGAAGAACATCATTAATCTGATAGGTAAAATGCAGTCTCATGCTTAAATATGTAATTTCTTTTGTTAATTAAGTTGAACATTTTTTCTTGTGTTTATTGGATTATTTCTTTCCTTGTGAGTCATATGCTTATGTTCTACATGTTTTCTACATTATTCATCATTTTCTAATTGATTTGTGAGACATCTTTTTTTCCCTTTCATTTTTAGGTTGTACTGAAGTAGGGGGAAATTAGCCTTTTGTTATATCTGTTGAACTCATTTTTCTTGGTTTGAGGTTTGTCTTTTGCCTTTGTTTATGATATGTTTTACCATATAAAATATAACTTTAGTGCCCAAAATGATCAATTTTCATGAATTTTGGATTTTATTGGACAGGTAGAAAGACCTTTCCTATTTAAAAATACTTTAATGTGATCATATATTTTTTTTAATGTTTTTAAAATTTTGGAGTGTTGTCCCATACTCCAAAAGATTGAGGATTTGATTTCTGGTCAGGGCACACACCTAGGTTGTGAATTCAATCCTTGGTGGTGCCATATACAGATTCATGTTTCTCTCTCACATCAATGTTTCTTCCTCTCTCAAATCAATAAACATATCTTTGAGTGAGGTTTAAAAAATAAAAAATAAAAACAATTTGCTTACCTGTTTATTCAACTAATATTATTGATCATTTTTGATGTGCTAGACTGTGTTCTAAATGTTGGGATTTATTCTTGATCTGAAGATGCAGCAGTGAAGAAAGTCTCTGCCTCTACAAGAGTTAGATTCTGTTAATTTTATCTCCTCGGTTTTTAAGCTGTCTTTATATCAGTGCTATTCATTAACTTATTTGCAGTAAGTCACTTAATAATTTATTTACCAAATATTTATTTAGAATCTACTAAATAACAGCTATTGTTTTGGGGGCCAGGAATACAGTTCCTGCTCTTGTGGAGCTTTTATTTTAGAACAAGCAAACAAAGTAACATCTGCTAATGCCGTTGAGAGCACGGAGGCAGGGAGCTATGGAAGAGGGTGATCTCAGGGGACTTCAGATTGGTAGACTGGGAATGCCTCTCGGAAGAGGTGACATTTCCTGTTGAACCTGAGAGATGAGAGGGAACAGTGATGCAGTGACCCCGGCAGGTAAAGGCCATATGTTTGGTGAGATTGAGGAGGAGCAAGGAGGCCACGCTGGCTGGGTCATGTGGTGAGGAGATAGAAAGAGGTAGGCAGACCTTGGGTGCCTTTGCAAATCAGAGCTTGGTGTTTGGACTTTATTTAAAGTGCAGTGGGAGTCATTTGGAGGGTTTTGAGCAATAAGTTGAAATGTTCACTCTTGGTTCTGTGGGAAGAGTGGACTAGGAACCAAGATATGCATCAGGAAAACCAGCCCCTTGCAGATGTCCAGGGGAGAGATGCTCTTGTCTGAGACAGAATGAAGAAGCTAGAGGAAGGGAGATGACTGTGAGGGTATACAGTGGGCAGAACTTGTTGAGGGTGTTTCAGCTCTTTTAATTATTTTGTTTTAGTAATTATATTTTAAAGTCTGCAACATTTGCTTTTATATAATGGCTTCATTGATACGTAATTCACATATCATATAATTCATCCATCTAAAGTGTTCAATTCAGTGATTGAGTATATTCAAATGTGTGCAATCATGACTACAATTAATTTGAGAACATTTTCATCAATGCAGATAGAATTCTGCACCCATTAGCATTCACTCCTCATTTCCTGCCAATTTGCCTACCTCTAGACAACCACCAGTTTACTTTCTATCTTTGGATTTGCCTAAGTTGGACATTACATGTAAATGGAGTCATATACTATGTGGTACTTTGTGACTGGCTCATTTTACTCAACATACTCTTCTCAAGGTTGTACCCTGCATCTGTACTTTCTTCCTTTTTTTTGGTCTGGATATTACTCCCTTATATGGCTAAACTACATTTTATCTATCCATTTTTCTAAATTGGGGCTAGTATGAATAATGTTGCAAGATATATTTTTATGTTTATTTTAAACGTAAAATATATTTTCAAATTTGCTCTTTCAATGGCAGCCTGTGGGTTGTTTTTTGTTTGTTTGTTTGTTTCATAAATTCATTGTCTTCTCAGATCTCTTGAAGTACACTCCTGATATTTTTTTATTTCTTGCTAGCCTGTGGGCCATTTGGTTTTTTACTTCATTCCATTTCTTTTTAGCTAATGGGTTTCTTCAGGTGTCTGATGATTCTTGATTGTCTGCTTCTTCGTACATGTTTATAGGAAGGGAATAATAAAGCAGTTGAGCCATCTCTCTTTTTAGTTCTCTTTACCTCTACAGAAGGAATTCCCTAAGTGGGCTTGTCTGACATACTCCAACATTGATTTCCACGTACTGCGTGTACCTCACTCCAAATCCACGTTTATGGTAGTGCTTAACCTTATTGGGTTATGACTATTTGTCTTTATAACTCTAGATTTCAAGAGCAGATGCCATATGTAACTAATTTTATTTTGTATATCCAACTTTTGATTGTGCTTCATAAATAATACATGTTTGTTGAATTGAATTTTATGTCATATCTAATTGTTAGGCATTTAAAATGTGTGTATGTTTGTTTTTTTAGAGGCGTGGAGCTATTTCCTATGACAGCTCGGACCAGACTGCGTTGTACATTCGTATGCTAGGTAAGCATTTTTTATTTTGTACCAATATCAATTAATTTTATTATCACCTGCTATTATTTGAAATTGAGATATATTTAATTAGATAGCTTTTCATCCCTGTTTACAGCAGAAGTAATCTATTACTTTGAAATTGAGTCTAGAAACCAATATTAAATGTGATGTGAATAAAGTGGCATTTAAGTTATTATCTGGCATAATAACTGGGACTCTGTCACTCTTGCTCAATTTTAAATTGCATCCTGAGTATCTATACTAATATGCTAATTAGACCGGACGTCCTTCCTGATGACATCCAGACAAAGCCATGGCTACAACCCAACCCATGGGCTGTGGTGAGTGGGCGGGGCCTCCTGCGAGGGAAGCCGGTTCTGGATGCCAGAGGGAAGCTGATGCCAGCAGCCAGGGGAAGAAGGCCTACTCTTGCAAGAATTTTGTGCATCGGGCCTCTAGTTCTTTATAAAAATAATATTAGATTTGTAGAGTTGCTAAGTACTAAACAGTTGTCCATGCTAGAACAGACAAAGAAGAGGCCATGAAATACCTGACCAGAGTCCTGTCACTGGGTGTATTTTGTTTTCAGTTGGCTGGTGAGGAGAGGACCATGCGTCTTCTAATCTTAGTTCTTAAGTTTTTATTTTTATTTATTTATTTATTATTTAATATATTTTATTGATTTTGTACAGAGAGGAAGGGAGAGAGATAGAGAGTTAGAAACATCAATGAGAGAGAGTCATCAATCAGCTGCCTCTTGCACACCCCCTACTGGGGACATGCCCGCAACCAAGGTACATGCCCTTGACCGGAATTGAACCCGGGACCCTTCAGTCCCCAAGCCGATGCTCTATCCACTGAGCCAAACCGGTTTCGGCAGTTCTTAAGTTTTTAATGTATTGATTAAGTCCACAAAGTAATATGAATTTTCACATATATGTCCATAATTTTCTTTTTCTCTTTATCAGATTTCACTCTTTACCTCCACACTCTACATCCCTTGTACTTTAATTCAAACTGTAAAAAGTTTGCTCATCTTTTCTTAAAGGCATCTTCCATGACAATTCTCATGCTTCAAATTCTTCCCTCAATTCTATGATATGAGCAATTTTTATTCTTCGCCTACTTTTTGTTGTTGTTGTTTTGCCTTTTTCATTAATTCCTTTTCATACTCTTAAGCCTGAATGTTCTCCAGAGTCCTGATTTTGCTCTTTTTCATTTTCCCCTTCTTTAATTTAGCTTGTGTATCTTATCTTCCTCAGTTTCATTCTAGTCTGGTACATATTGTCTCCCCACGAATGTTCAGCTCTTTCCTCTTCACTGTCTCCATCTCTCTCCAAACCTATTCAGGATTCTGCTCTCCTTGAAACAGCTTTTTAGACTCATTTTTTAAAACTATGTTGAACTTCTCCACAGGGGCGTATAATGGGTACTTCACATTTAAAATGTCTATTAGACAAAAGATTTGTGTACTCGAGGCTGTTCATTTTGCAGTCTTGCCATCCCAGAAAATGTAACTCCATTCTCTGGAGTCATTCTTGACTCTTATTTCTTCTGTACTCTATGTCTACTTTATCAGTAAATCTTCTTGGCTGGTACCTGCAAAATATAACCAGAATTCTGCCCCATCCCCCACATGCTGTTACCATATGTGCTCAGCCATAGTGGATTTTTAACTTTAATCGCATTGTTGTACATTAGAGCTCATCTTGCATAACTCATGTGTTGTACCCCTTGACCAACATCTTCCCATGTCGCCTCCCTACAAGCCATAGTTACTGCTGTGTTTATTGCTCTTCTTAACTAGTTTACCTCTATGACTCTAAACAACTCTAGTATGCACAGAGTCAGCCTTTGCAGATATAAGTTAAATTACTCTTACTCACATATTTGAAATTCTTTAATAGTTTTCTATCACAGAGTAACAGCCAAAGCTATTATGTCCCACGAAGATCCAATATGATCTGGCCCTACTCCCTCCCACCAGTTCCCTTCACTTACCTCACGTCAGCCATGCTGCCCTCTTTGCTTGACCTTGAACATGCCAAGCATACTCCCATCTAAGAGTATTTACTTATTATACTTGCTCTTTCTTATGCCAGGAAACCTCTTCCTCCAGATACCATATGGCTCCCAACCTCACTTCCTTCAGGTCTTTGCTCAGACGCCTCCTTTTCAGTGAGGCCTTCTCTGACCACACTAATGAGTCGCTCCTCCTCTACCTTGCTTTCATTTTCTCCATGTTACCAGCTGCCATCAGCTATAGAACGAAACTATTTATTTTACTATTTGCCTCATTCCATGAAAAGATAAGATCCATGAAGACAGGGACTTGTATTTTGCTTGCTGCTGTATTTCCTGAGCCTGAAGTGTGGTTGGGTGCACAGTAAACATTTACTACAAGGTGAAGGAATCAGCACTTGAGAGAAGTGGTTAGTCTTTGTGGCATAGACTCATGTAGAAATGATGGCCTCACTTAGAGAAACAAAGAGTGAAAGCAGGAAAGCCTTCCAGCTGCCTAGAATTACAAGAACACCCAGATAGGGACTGGAGATTTAAAGTTTATGAATCTGGGAACTGTGGAATATAGTGGAGCCTCCTGAGTGAGGGCTAAGTCCTCACTCACCCTTTACACTAGCTTTGTTTCATGGGCATGCTACTTCTCAAAATCTCAGTTTCCACATCTATAAAATAGGATAAAGATCCTCCCTGTTAGAATTGGCTAGAGAATTAAATAAAATAATGCCTATAAAGCACACAAAAAAAATGCCTGGTCCATGATTTGCAGTGGTGCTGTAGGGAGAAGAGCATCTGAACATCATATGGATACACAGAGAAACAGTGTGAGATTGTAAAGAACAAAATGTGAGCACCAGCCGAAGGCCTTGGGTATACCACTGCCAACGAGAAAAGAGAGATTGACCAGATTGAACAAGGCAGATCATTTTACTTTTCTGTACATCAGAAAATTGTAGGCTGATTGAGAATAGGTAATGAGTTTTCTGTTGTTTCATATCCCCAATAAACTGTAGTATAGTGCCTAGGTATCAAGTAAACAGTTCATAAATACTTGTTTCTTCCTGTGGCTTTTTAACATTTTGTGCTGAGGGTTTTTTTTTTGTTTTGTTTTGTTTTTTTAACTCCTTGTGAGTAATAAAATAGTTGGTTGAATTATCATATACTTGACTCATCTTTCAGAAAGCTAACTTTAAACTATAGATTATTATAATAATTATTGTAGAAGTAGATTTAAAAAAATGTCCATTTAGCTTTACAACTCAGTCCTGAAAGTTTATATAAGGCAGCTCTTAGTTACTCAATCCGTATGTATTACTAGTGGGCAACTCACTGCTTATGGCTGTCACGCCACATAGGCCTTTGTTGCATACGGGAGTTTCTTCCAAGAGGGCGGCCTTCTCAGCTGTGTTTCATCCTTGACCCATCCAGGAGATGTACGCGTAAGGAGTCGAGCAGGATTTGAATCAGAAAGAAGAGGTTCTCATCCATATATTGATTTTCGTATTTTTCACGGTAAGTGTGGGCAGATACAATATTTCTCTTAGACATTGAGCAAACTTCAGATCTTTATAAAATTACATAATTTTCCAAGGGAAAAAGAATATAAAAGAAAACTGTATTACTATGTTTGGAATGTTTTAAAAATACTGGGTCACAGTAAATGACACTTTATTCCTAGGTGATGTTAGTAAAATGTTTAGAGATAATTAGAAGTATGAAAGCTGATGTACTTTTCCTCCTTTTTAATTGAAATGTGAAATTACTTTGGTACATTTTTTCCTTGGAAAAAAATGTTTTTCCTTGATTTTAAAATTGTATTTGTTAATTATAGTTAACACTCAATATTATTTATATTAATTTCAGGTGTACAGCATAGTATTTAGACAATCATATACTTTACAAAGTGATCTCCCAATATTTCCCATACCCACCTGGCACCACACATAGTTATTACAGGGTTATTGACTACATCTCCTATGCTGTACTTTACACTCTGGTGACTGTTTTGTGGCTATCAATTTGTACTTCTTAAACCCTTCACTTTTTTCATCCAGCCTCCTAACTTCCCTCCCCTCTGGCAACCATCTGTCTGTTCTCTATATTTATGCATCTATTTCTAAAAATATATTTTCTTTAAAAATTTTTACTCCGCATGTTTCATCTTCTTTACTCCAAATGTTTTTGTGCAAATGACATTTTCTAAAGATATTACATAATTAACAAGGTATATCTTTTTGGTTTATTTGAAAATACACATCACCTTTAAAATGTTTGGTAGAATGCACATTTTGAAAATAAACATTATATATGAGCCTAACCAGTGGTCAAGGACAATAGGGGCTAGGGGTTTGGAATGGGGGGGTTGAGGACAAATATGTGATACCTTAATCAATAAAGAAATTAAACAAACAAACAAACAAACAAACAAACATTATGTTGGTCTGGCCCACAATGGAGAAAATGGAAAAAAACAAAACTTCTAAAACTTTAAGTATTAAACACATTAAACGTATTTTTGGAGAAGTTCCACTTTTGGTAATGTTGGTTAACTTATTTGGATTAATTCTCTGGTTAAGAATATTGGAAAGATTGGTAGAAGATGTATTTAGTATATCAGAATGCTATGAAGGCAGAAAGATGAGCTCCTTTTTCAGGCTGCTTTCCCCTTAGTAGCATCTGTTGATTCTGAGAAAGGTGGATAAGCCGAGCAGAGACTTTGGTGGACATTTAAGGGCAGGAAAAACAAAAACAGGTGTTCAGAGCTCACCAACACTTGTAGATTGGTTCTGGTAAAACCTCAGTGTTTAAGTTAGAAACCCTGAAGTAAACTGTAGAAACAAATCCCAGCTTTGAAACATCTCTAGTGATTAGATTAAGATTATCTGTGGCTTTAATGCCTCTAGTCATTTGCCAGAAGTAAATATTAATCCTCTTAGTCTCAATTTACTAAACATTTTTCATATGCAATATCAAACACTGACTGAAAAATAAAAAGGCATGAGACAAGACAGTGTGACCAAAGTGAAGAGGAAACAACAGACAATAGAAATATCCATATGGGATTATTGTACATGGGCTTTAAAATAACTAATTATTGTACATACTGTTCATGGGGTCACTAAGCATCGACCCATGAACAAGAAGTCACCAGGTCGATTCTCCATCAAGCCACATGCCTTGGTTGCCAGCTTGATCCCCAGTAGGGGATCACACAGGAGGCAGGCAATTGATGTTTCTCTCTCATTGATGTTTCTCTATCATTGATGTTTCTCTCTCTTCCCCTCTTCAAATCAATAAAAACTTTTTTTTTTAAAGTAAATGTAATTACATTGATAAAGATAAATAAGAACTTCATTGGAGAACTGGAAATTACAAAAGAAGAACCAGTTGGAAACTCTAAGACTGAAAAATACCATACCTTAAATATGAACTAATTTGAGATGATTTTAATAGCAAATGAGACCAAAATGAAAAGGTAATTAGTGAATTGGAACATAAGTCAGAAGAAAATATTTAGAATGAAACACAATGAGGCAAAGCATAGAAAATACAGAAAAGATATGGAATATGTTCCAGTTATATATTGCTCTGTGCCTGTCAAGAATTGTGAAGCAGCTGGGATTTTACCTTATAAGGTAACAAGTTTGTCTAGTATTGCTTCATAGATGTTGGCAGAAGGCACAAAACTTCTGGTTCAGAGACAAAGGACTTTATTATTCATGACACAACAACTTGAATATCATATTGTGTCAGTTTCTCCAGTACCCAGGCAGACATGTGAATATTTTACAAACAATGAGTCTGCATCACCTCTAAGGAATAATGAGCTTGGTGGAATTTACCTCTTTTATAGTAAAAATACTCTTTGTCCCAGGAAAAGATCTTACTTACCCCTAAGGATGCCAGCTGTAAACACAGTCCTGAGAAATGGCCCAGGTAATGATTGGTTAGGGCTTGGCATTCTTGGCACATCCAATAAGAAAGAAAACTGACCCTGGGCCTTTGTGGAGGATTACCTTTCTCAGTAGTAACAAGTAACCCCAAAACTTACTGGCATAAAACAACCACCTTTTTTTATCATCATGAATCTGAGGGTTAAAAATTCAGTCTGGGTAAGGTTTGTGCTTCATAATGTCTTAATCTTCAGCTGGGTTAGTTCAAACGGCTAGAGATGGCTGGGGTGACTCCACTAGGTCAGTGTGTCTGGGGGCTTGGTCCTTCTCTACATGCTATCTCCTGGGGCTAGGTATCCACAATGGCTTCTGCACGTTCATTTCTGGTACCAGGGCTGGGACGGCTGGAATTTCTGGGGCTGGCCAGGAATTCTCTCTTTGTTAATGGTAGTTAGTCTTGGCAGTTGCCTTTCCCCAGAGCAAGCATTCCAAGAGAGAAGTGTGGGAGTTTCTAGTCTTGGATGGTCTGGGCCTGGACACTAGTACAACATCATGTTTTTATATTCTGTCCATCAGCTTGACACACCACTTGTTCAGATTCATGCAGAGAGGACATAGACTCCACTTGTCAGTGAAGTATGGTTTAAAAATGTTTCAGTCTTCTATCTCCAATCTGATACAAAATGTACTGAAAGGTAATTAGAGTCCCAGCAGAGGAGGGGGAGAATATAGCAGAAGCAGTCTTTGGAAGGATAATGCCTGAGAAATCTCTATGACTTGATAAAAGACATTAAGGTACAGATTCAAGAAGCATTATGGGGGGGGGGGGAGCATTATGAATCTCAGGTACAAAAACATTATAAGATAACCACACCTAGATGTAGCAAAGAATAACTTATAACCAAAATCAGAGAGAAAACATTTAAAAGAGAAAAAGAAAATTATTACCTTCAAAGAAGCAACTAGGAGATTGTCAGAAACAGGTTATTTCATTTTTAATAGAAACCAAGAAACTAGAAGATTACTTCGAAGTGATGGGAAAAAATAAATAACCATAAAACTAAAATTTTATTCACAAACTCTCAAGAATAAGAGAAAAAGGGTACACTTCACCACTTAGGTAAGAATAACAGAATCTTGATACTAAAACCTGAGAAGTATAAGACAAGAACAGAAAATTACAGCCATTATCACTCACAGACATAAATGAAACATCCTAGATAACATGTTATTAAATTAAATGCAATTCATAGGAAGAATAATATATTTTGACTTAATTTATATTTTTCCAAACATGTAAGATTGTTTTAACATTCAAAAATCAGTCATTGTAATTCATTACATTAATAGAATAAAGGAGAAACACCATGGATAGACTTTATACACCACAAATGCATTTGATAAAATTCAACAGGCACTTCTTGACAAAGTTTTGAGCAAGCTAGGAATACAGAAAAACTGATTTATTCTGAAAAGAGTTTTTTTACAGGACCCACAACCTTTCTCAAATGTCTGCTTTCACTCAACCCTATGGAGATAACCAGGCAACTTTCTCATTTTCCTTTCCTCCTTTTGAGTAAGTTGGCTGACTAAGTGGGCAGGACTGGATTAAGACTCCCAATATTCCAGCACATATTTTTCTATGTTCAATTGGCCATATACCTGGTGTCTTGAAATACAGTATTTGAGTCTTAAATCTATTAGACTTGATGAAATGAATTCCATATTAACTTTTTGTCAAAACTTACCTTGTTTGCTCTAAATTTATAGGTCTCTAAACTTACATCATTCTTTTAGTTACATGTTATTTTGAGCTTGCTTACATAATATCTAGAGGCTCGGTGCATGAATTTGTGCACGGGTGGGGTCCCTCAGCCTGGTGGGCAATCGGGGTCGATGGAGGGGGGGCTGCCAGGGGGAGAGACCACGGGAGGTTGGCCCCAGCAACAAGCCATCCAACACCTGATTGTGCAAGGAATCGTGCTCCCTCCTGCCTCCTGTCTTGAGTTCAGGGTGTGGATGAACCAGATTCAGGGCTGTCAGGTCCCCAACAGCAAACTAACCAACAGCTGATTCCACAGGAATTGGGCTCCCTCCTCACTCCTGAGTCTGGGGTGCAGCTGAACTAGATTTGGAGCTGTCAAGGGCCCCAGCAGCAAGCTAAGGCATGGCTGATTCCGCCTGGGATGAGGCTCCCTCTTCCCTCCTGAGTCCGGGGTGCTGGTGAACCAGATTCGGGGCTGTCAGGGCCCAGCAGTAAGGTCTAGGTCAGTGTGCCTTGTAGCTACTGGCCAGTCGTTCAGTCTAATGGTTGCTTAGGCTATATATATCTATATATCTATATCTATATCTATATCTATATCTATATATCTATATATATAGATATAGATATAGATATATATCATATTTTTCAGACCATAAGACGCTCTGGACCATAAGACGCACCAGTTTTTAGAGAAGGGAAATGAAGAAAAAAAGATTCTGAAACAAATAGTGTCCTAATATTTTATGTGCATTAAAACCCAACATCACAGTCATAAACACATGTAATCAACCCTGTAAAGTAAACAGCAGCATTTAGAACCATTTTAGAGCCGGGCAAGCACACAGAGACCACAC